ATGGAAAGTAGAGGCGCTCTATCCCCGCCCTCTATGGTAAGTAGAGGCGCTCTATCCCCGCCCTCTATGGTAAGTAGAGGCGCTCTATCCCCGCCCTCTATGGTAAGTAGAGGCGCTCTATCCCCGCCCTCTATGGAAAGTAGAGGCGCTCTATCCCCGCCCTCTATGGTAAGTAGAGGCGCTCTATCCCCGCCCTCTATGGAAAGTGGAGGCGCTCTATCCCCGCCCTCTATGGAAAGTGGAGGCGCTCTATCTCCGTCCTCTATGGTAAGATAAAAGACGATCTATCTCAGCATTGAGCACTCTGTGGTCACTTGTATAACCAGGGTGGTTTCCATGGTGACAGGATGACTGATGGGAATATCACCCCTAGCCATCCTGTATATAATACACTGCACCCTGGGGTTAGTCATTAAACTTCCAATGGAAATCCGAAATGTGTAATTCAGGCTAAACTAATCGAGCTGTGCCTATAGCTGGGGCGGAGAATGTTTCCATAGCGACTATTTTAGTCTGTTTTGTAATACAGCGTCTAGAGCGTAATCATTAAATTCTACAAATACACAAATAATAATAATAATAATAATAATAATAATAATAATTCTACGTATATATTTATGTAATAATTTTACAGAATTAGGTGAACCAGAGTGACTTCGGGGTGGATGGAGGGATAATATGCCATAATATGCCTCCATCCACTCAGATCTGCTGTCAGCAGAGCACAGGGCAGCACTGTGCAGAGCATCCTGTGATTCAGTATCTCCTCCCTCTGCATGCAGACACTGAACTTTCCTCATAGAGATTCATTGATTCAATTCATCTCTATGAGGAGATGCTGATTGGCCAGGGCTGTGTTTGAATCATGCTGGCTCTGCCAATGATCTGCCTCTTTGTCAGTCTCAGCCAATCCTATGGGGAAGCATTGTGATTGGATCAGGCCACCACTTCTGATGATGTCAGCAGACTGATTGTTTTTCAGAGTCTAACAGCATGCAGATCTACAGCTTCAGGCTTGAATACAGTAAGATTTTTACTATATTTATGGAGGCGTGAGGGGCCCAGGGGGGCTAGATGGTGGTGTTAACACTACAGGGTCAGGAATACATGTTTGTGTTCCTGACCCTATAGTGATCCTTTAATTAGCAAGCACTATATTTAACCCTGTGACCAAGACACCATAAAACCTGTACATGGGGGGGGTACTGTTTTACTCGGAAGACCTCGCCGAACATAAATATTAGTGTTTCAAAACCGTAAAATGTACAATAACGTCAGTGAAAGTGGCTATTTTTGCATTTTTCACACACAAATGGCACTTACAAGGATGATATAATTGTTGTGATACGTTTTACTGTTTTGAAACACTAATATTTGTGTTTAGCGAAGTCTCCCGAGTATAACAGTACCCTTCATGTACAGGTTTTATGGTGTTTTCAAAAGTTACAGAGTCAAATATAAGGCTTGAATTTCACATTGAAATTTGCCAGATTGGTTACATTGCCTTTGAGACCGTATGGTAGCCCAGGAATGAGAATTACCCCCCATGATGGCATACCATTATCAAAGGTAGTTAACCCAATGTATTGCAAATGTGGTATGTTCAGTCTTTTTTGGTAGCCACTTAGTCACAAACACTGGAAAAAATTAGCGTTTAATTTTTCACACACAACAAATATGGACGCTAATTTTGGCCAGTGTTTGTGAGTGGATCCTAAAAAAGACTGGACATACCACATTTGTAATACCTTGAGTTGTCTACTTTTGCAAATGGTATGCCATCATGGGGGTAATTTTCATTCCTGGGCTACCATACGATCTCAAAGGCAACATAACAGTATTGTGACATACATAGTTAAAATGCCATGCTGAACTAAAAAACATTTATTTTCTCAATTTTTAAAATATTACGTTTAATATACAAATATTTAATGTGACATGAATGCCCTGTTTCTCCTGAACAAAATTATATTATATATGATAAATGTGGGTGCACGTAATATGAAAGAGGTAAATTATGGCTGAACAGACATATAACGCAACATGTACAACTGCTTTAGTCTTTAAGGGGTTAATCCCAGCATCAGAGCTCAGCTCACAGTTACCTATCACACGGCTCACTGGATATTTATAAGGTGACCATGTTTTTTTTTGAATGAGACGGTTATTGGGTCTGACCATCTTTGAATGAGACAGTTATTGGGTCTGACCGTGTTTGAATGAAACAGCTATTGGGTCTGACCGTGTTTGAGTAAGACCGCTATTGGGTCTGACAGTGTTTGAATGAGACAGTTATTGGATCAGACAGTGTTTGATTGAGACAGTTATTGAGTCTGACAGTGTTTGAATGAGACAGCTTTTGGGTCTGACAGTGTTTGAATGAGACAGCTTTTCGGTCAGACCGTGTTTGAATGAGACAGTAATTGGGTCTGACCGTCTTTGAAAGAGACAGCTATTGGATCAGAGAGTGTTTGAATGAGACAGTCATTGTGTTTGATTGTGTTTGAATGAGACCGTTATTGGTCTGACCATCTTTAAGTGAGACAGCTAATGGGTCTGACCGTGCTTGAATGAGATAGCTATTGGGTCTGACAGTGTTTGAATGAGACAGTTACTGGTCTGACTATCTTTAAATGAGACAGCTAATGGGTCTGACCGTGTTTGAATAAGACAGCTATTGGGTCTGACCGTGTTTGAATAAGACCGCTATTGGGTCTGACCGTGTTTGAATGAGACCGCTATCGGGTCTGACAGTGTTTGAATGAGACCGCTATCGGGTCTGACAGTGTTTGAATGAGACCGCTATCGGGTCTGACCGTGTTTGAATGAGACCGTTATTGGTCTGACCATCTTTAAATGACAGCTAATGGGTCTGACCGTGTTTGAATGAGACAGCTATTGGGTCTGACCCTGTTTGAATGAGAGCGCTATTGTATTTGTGTTTGAATGAGACAGTTATCGGGTCTGACAGTGTTTGAATGAGACAGCCAGTGGCGGAACTACCACGGTCGCATGCCTGCCACCATGTGTTGCAACCCCAGGCGGCGCAGTATAACCACCGCACGTTAAGGGGCCTATGCTGTTAGGGCCACTCAATGGCTATGGACATCCAGAGGGCCCGGTCAGCGCTGCAGTGCTTTAACAGTACGACTGGGCCCCTTTTTGATGAGGTCAGAGGCTGGGAGGAAGTGACAGCCCTGGTCACTTCCTCCCAGCAACCACCAGGAGCCGCGCGGTTGGAAGGAGAGGAGGGAGTGAGAGTGGGAACTCTGACTCCCATCAGGCTGAACCACCACTGGAACCCAGGGAAGTCACCCTTCTGCATCTATAAGGTAGGAAGCAGGAGGGTGACTAAAATACTTTGTATATGTGTGTGTTTGTATGTCTGTTTGTGTGTGTGTGTCTTTATATATGTGTATGTGTGTCGGTATATATGTGTGTGTGTGGCAAAGTATGGTAGGGTAGACATATGGGGGAAATGGCGGGGGGCAGACGTATAGGAGGCCCCAGGGCAATTCTCGCCTCTGGAGATAGCTATTGGGTCTGACCCTGTTTAAATGAAACAGTTATTGGGTCTGACCGTGTTTGAATGAGACAGTTATTCTTTAATTATCCACTAATGTCTCTTCACCTCCCAACGCATTCCCAGCAAGTAGCGACAATGATAACGTCATACTACAGGTGATACTCGAAAAATTAGAATATCGTGCAAAAGTTAATTTATTTCAGAAATGCAACGTAAAAGGGGAAACTAATATATGAGATAGACGCTTTATATGCAAAGCAAGATAGTTCAAGCCAACGTGATTTGTCATAAGTGCGATGATTATGGCTTATAGCTCATGAAAACCCCAAATCCACAATCTCAGTAAATTAGAATATTGTGAAAAGGTGCAATATTCTAGGCTCGCAGTGTCCCACTATAATCAGCTAAGTAAGCCATAACACCTGCAAAGGGTTTGAGTCTTTAAATGGTCTCTCAGTCTGGTTTAGTAGGAATCACAATCATGGGGAAGACTGCTGACCTGACAGTTGTGCAGAAAACCATCATTGACACCCTCCATAAGGACGGAAAGCCTCAAAAGGTAATTGCAAAGGAAGTTGGATGTTTCCAAAGTGCTGTATCAAATCACATTAATAGAAAGTTGGAAGACTGTGGAAGGGAAAAGTGTTGAAGAAGAAGGTGCACAAGCAGCAGGGATGACCGCAGCCTGGAGAAGAAAAGGCCAATCAAAAGTGTTGGGGACTTTCACAAGGAGTGGACTGAGGCTGGAGTCAGTGCATAAAGAGCCACCACACACAGACGGATCCTGGACATGGGCTCAGATGTCGTATTCCTCTTGTCAAGCCGCTCCTGAACAACAAACAACGTCAGAAGTGTCTTACCTGGGCTAAAGAAAAACAGACCTGGTCTGTTGCTCAGTGGTCCAAAGTCCTCTTTTCTGATGAGAGCAATGTTTGCATCTCATTTGGAAACCAAGGACCTAGAGTCTGGAGGAAGAATGGAGAGGCACACACTGCAAGATGCTTGAAGTCCAGTGTGAAGTTTCCACAGTCTGTGTTGGTCCACTGTGCTTCATTAAGTCCAGGGTCAACGCAGCCGTCTACCAGAAGATTTTGGACCACTTCATGCTTCCTTCCATAGACGAGCTTTATGGGGATGCGAACTTCATTTTCCAGCAGGACTTGGCACCTGCCCACTCTGCCAAAAGCACCACAAAGCCGTTTCAAGGACCGTGGGATTACTGTGCTTGATTGGCCAGCAAACTCGCCTGACCTGAACCCCATAGAGAATCTATGGGGCATTGCCAAGAGAAAGAGGAGAGATATGAGACCGAACAATGCAGAAGAGCTGAAGGCTGCTAGTGAAGCATCTTGGTCTTCCATAACACCTCAGCAGTGCCACAGGCTCATAGCTTCCATGCCACGCCACATTGAGGCAGTAATTGCTGCAAAAGGGGCCCAAACAAAGTACTGAGTCCATTTGCATGCTGATACTTTTCAGAGGTCCGATATTGTTCTATGTACACTCCTTGTTTTATTGTTTTTATTTTTTTATTGATTGCATGTGATATTCTAATTTACTGAGATTGTGGTTTTGGGGTTTTCATGAGCTGTAAGCCATAATCATCGCACTTATGACAAATCACGGCTTGAACTATCTTGCTTTGCATGTAATGAGTCTATCTTATATATTAGTTTCCCCTATTGTGATCACCATTCATGTAGAGCAGGGGTGAAGTATTCCCAAATCACTATTCAGAGGACACCAAGATTTGATAATACCATTATGCCCAGAGAAGCCTGATCATAACTCCTCCCCCCCCACCCCCTACCAAAGTGCTGTCTAAACTCAAATGTGGAGAGACTGACAGCAATTCTGGGGCCAAGGACTAAAGTCGAGTCGCCACCATGGAAACCTACTTAAAAGGATACTGTAGTTACCAAAAACAACTTTAGTTTAATTAAGCAGTTTGGGTTTATAGACCCCTGCAGTTTCACTACTTAATTCTCTGTCATTTAGGCGTTAAATCCCTTTGTTTCTTTCGGTTTATGCAGCCCTAGCTACACCTCCCCTGGCTATGATTGACAGAGTTTGCATGAAAAAAAAAAAAAAAGGCTTCATTTTCAGATGTTAACTTGCTTTTGGTGTTTTTAACCTCCTGCTCTGTAAATTGAACTTTAATCACACACTGGAAGCTCATGCGAGGACTAGAATAGCAGGAGATAAATTCTAAATTAAACAGAATGCGCAAAAATAGATGACTCTTTACAGGAAGTGTTTAGGAAGGCTGTGCAAGTCACATGCAGGGAGGTGTGACTAGGGTTCATAAACAAAGTGATTTAACTCCTAAAGGGCAGAGAATTGAGCAGCGAGACTGAAGGGGCATGATTTATACACCAAAACGGTATCATTAAGATAAAGTGGTTTTAGTGCTTATAAATGTCCCTTTAATATGTTGCACATTGACAACTTTACCCCAGGATCACATTTTATTTAGAACCTCACAGTGGATCTGAATGAAACTTTAGCCATCAATCCTACAGATTAACCACAATTTCTTTTTTTAATTTACGATGTATTTTATTGCATGTTTGAGGATTAATACACAGAAAAAGAGCAGATCTATATAGAACTATTTCATTCCAGTACAGTTTTTATTACATTAGGCATACACCAATGTCCCTTTGCCTTGGATTATAGGTCACGTTTGGAATAGAGATTACGGACAATGTTAAATAAGACCATAGGAATTCACTAAAACAATGAATTTAAAATCAAACCTATAAAAAAAAAAAAAAACAAACAAAAAAAAGTACATAATGTGTAAATGAATTTTTTCCCATCTCACATATTTTGCCAACATTTTGCACAAAAAGTAAAAAAAAAAAAAAAAAGTTGTCAATTGTTTAGTAGATACACTGCCTGGCTTGCAAAATGCAGTACAGAAAGTTCTCATTTAACTATTCACTTTAACAGTTTTAGATTTGCTAAATAAATAGCTGTATGTCACATTGAAAATTAACTTTGTGGTAAAAAGTAGCTCTGCTTTATTGGCACAGTTACCATTTTCCGTGAATTAGGATATAAGTACACATTGGTAAATAAACAGCAGAGCGGAGCAAGGACACATTCATTTTATTTTATAGATTTGAAGAACTGAAATAGCGAGAGAGGGACAGAAAAGTCCAAAACACAAACGTGAAACTAGCTAAAATGACGTTTCTAGAAAAATAGAGTTAGAAAACAGTGCAGTAACAAGTTAGTAGTGTAAAAAACACGAGATAAATTGAATCCTTTTACAGGCAGACACAAAGTCCCAGAATAAATAACCAGTGAGTTAATACCCATCATGCTAGGGGGTAGGGCGGAGGGGCTGAATACATAGCAATAAGGGAAGAGCAGCCTGTGACGGAAATAGGAAAAAATAATTAAACTAAAAAAAGATTTAACTGTAGAATATAACATTTGTATAACTGATTCAACAGGTTTCCATTTGTCACGCAGGACGGAATTTAGAGACTAGAATGCCACATATCCATTATTTTTTCTGCACACTGTGGTTTACTCTGCCCACTGCCGCACTTGGCACTGCCGCAGTTATGACCCATTTTCAGCCCAGTAACTAGGCGGAATAGTCCCGTTACCACTTGTATCAGATTATTTAATCAGGAGCCTAGATGACAGATCATCCAACGCTATCCTCAGTTAAAGCAACAATGAACTATGCAGCTAGAGACAGCGCAAAACTTCTATTATTAATGGCTTGGAATGGGGTCACATTCTGTGTGAATATTGTCATTTCTTTACCTCCGTGTTGGGCTGAGCATTGAAACCGTTGCTTTTCATTCAGTGGTATGTTCATAATATCACTATGTTTAATGAAGTGATCTGGGAAATAAATGCTGCATATAGGGCCTGTACACAACATACCCTTGCTATAATTAGCAGAGCTGGTCACCAGCACAGAAAATGCTTTGTATGGAAATATTGTAGATTATTCCCAATACACTGGGTTGTTGTGGTTACTGAAAAAAAAAGCAAAAAAAAAAAAAAAAAGAACAGAAAGGTGGATAACAAGCAAAATAGTTCAAATTTAAGGCTCTTCCATTTGCCACCACTTGAATGTGAAAGGCTTTCGACGTACGTTGGTGCCACAGTGCACCTCACCCAATTTTTTGTGGTATGATACGACATCATCAATAAATGTGCACTTTAACTCCAGGGGTTTGAACGTAGAGATGACATAGTCCTCCAGACAGCAGGTCTCCTTAATGATGGGTCCGTAAGGTTTGGGGATTCCCAATTCTTTCCCCAAAACAATCATATTAACCTGAGGAAAGAAGACAAAACAGGGGTCAAAAGACCTTTAGTGGTCAGACAGTACTGCCCTCTATTGGCAGTTTTTAGAATCTGAATAAAATCAAATCAAAAGCCCAGTGGGTTATTATCCAAAAATGTTATTGGAAATTATGCAGAGTATCAGCAGCAGTATGGGAGTCAGGATAACATTTCCAAAAACCTTGAATGGCCGATTCCATTTAAATTAGATATAAAATCATAGAATAAAACAAAGGGCCATACATTATGTCTGAAAGTGGGGACCCCATCAGGGAGATGCAAAGAGTAACCATGTGCCAGTTCCAGAAATAGAACACATGTAGGTTGAGCACATTTGGTCTCTTGGTGAAATATAGGGATATTATCTCCAAACTAGAAACTGGGGATGAGGTGCTCCACCCCTCCCTAACGTAAGACCCATATAGGGCATTTAATACTAAAGTGACAAGTCAAAGTGAATTTAAATACCTTAAGGTCATTATAGACTAAATGGAAACATTCTGCAAGTCAGCTATGCTTTTAGGTTGGCTACTCTGGCATTAAATTTTGAAATTCACCTTGAATGCTTTCTTTGGTGAATAATCGATAGTTGGTGAAAAGCTAGGATTAAAATAGTAGTCACAATCTAGTTGTGGAAGAGTTACAATATACTGTTTAGAATATCCCAGGAATATTTAAACAAATCTCTATTTTTGCACATTTTGGTCTTGTCCAAATAGACAAGATGGCATTGACAGAGGAGGTTTTGCTAATAGCCTTGTTAGCTACAGTAGGTGCCATGCAAGACTTGGAACCAGCATTACTTTCTCATGCACGGCCTGGCTCCATCTTGGTATTTACCATGTTTGGGAAGAATGCCAATGCCTTGCCACCTTTATCGAGCCTAAAGAGAGCTGGAATATCAATAATGTCGTCTTCTGTGATCCCCAACTCCTGCTTAAGGATATCCCGGTTCCAGTCAATGCAGTGCTGTGGAGGAAGAAGTTATTTAGCCAGATATACAATCATTGAACATTTCATGAGCAGTAACATTTTACCTATAGTATACATACAGCTTGCACTCACATTTAGCACTGATGGCTAAGCCAGTTTATGGTTCTGTATTCTGTATTTAGCTTACTCCCTGCTCAAACCCAGTTACATTTCTCTTCGCGTCAGAGTTGTTCTGCAATCAAGTAGAAACTAATCTCTCCCCTGGGACCGTTGGTCAGTTCCGCAGAGCCTCCCTGCACAGAAAGGTCTATGACTCAAAGTAGAAAGGATAATTCCCAACAGCCAGGTTAGGGGGAGAAAGTGCTCTCGACACACTGCAATAACAGCTTGCAAAGCCCTACACAATAGATGCCACTTTTTATCCAGTCAGCTGCACTTAAAGTGGCACTGTGATGCAGAGCTTACCTTTCTCCAATCGGTTCCTCTTCTCTCCCTCTCAGAATATCTTAAATTTCTTCCTATCTGCTCTAGTTTTCTTTAAAACATAAGACAAAGTAGGGACTACTTTGTTTTACGTATTTTTCCTACACTTGACCAGCTTTGACCCACTTTCTATGGGTCAGATATTTTTCCAACAATACTCTCCCTTTGCGCCGTGATCTCGCGATGCCTCCTTTTACTTTTCCCGAACAGGACGCTGGCGAAACTACCAAATTCTGTCCTAACAGAATGAGAACACAGGCTGCTCACTGTTTAGTAGACATGCCCCTACTCGCGGCATAGCAAGTAGGGGCATTCGGGAGATTTGAGTCTCCCTTATGGTATTATGGGGCTCATATTGACCCCCTATAGAGTGAGGGAGGACATGGGGGAGTTGGGAAGTGGTGCTTCTATTTTTACATTTTACAAGGAGGGAGCTGCGAGCCGGTAGCCCCCTTCTTGTAATAAACTAAACGAATGAAAGAAGAGGTATTCGTTCAAAGTGTCAATTCATTCATTCGTATTTCTGACGAATTAATTGACGAAATTCCTGTCCGAATGCCCAAGTGTTTTACTGGGCATGCGCGGGAATTTCATAGCGCTATCTAGTGTGGGCAGATGACATGTCCCACAGGGACTTCATCTGCCCACACAAATATGGCAGAGCCCAGGACCTAGGTCCGGGCATAAAATAAATAAAGTGAGGAACTAGACAATCCTTTATATTCACTATTCTAAACGATTAAACATAAAATTGTGTAAATCTGAACACGTCATTTTTGTTGTTGCTATTTCTGGAAACAAATCTATACATAGAATTGCTGGGGGTTTTTTTTTTAACCTAAATTTCATTAATTTTAAAAATAATTTTTAAAAAATGTTAAAAGCCCAATGCCAACTCTTTGGAAACCTGAAGCCAGCTTTACAGTAACCATTCTAGCTCTGGTTAGAATGTTGTCCAGATATCTCACCTGTGCATAATTGTTTTCTTGCACAATTTGGTCTGTGGAGAGAATTTTGGTAATGGTCCATCTTTTGGTTTCCAGCCCTGTAGTAAAAACGATTGTTACATAACTCAATGTTTAAATTTGGCTTTGTTAGAAAACAATTGTTCTGATTCAAGTGAAAGGAAGGATGTATGTCGGAGGAATCTTGTAGCCCTTTCACACCAACTGTTCACACGTTTCCAGACAGTAATTAATGTGCTGGGGAAGGTCGTAACAGGAGGCATGCAGCTCAGTCAGATTATATGGACAGCAAAAGCTTGTAAACCACAAAATGTTGTGTTCATTAACTCAGCATTTACTAGCGGACTCCCAGATGTACAGTGGGCTTAGTACTTACACAATTTACCACAGTGCCATCAGATTTCACTACTGGGCTCATATTACTTGTAAAGTGCCAGCATATTCAGCAGCGCAGTACAATCTCAACACCTCGTTCACCATTTACTGAAAGTCACACTCACCCTGAAACATGGTGGCGTCACCTTGACCTTCCGCCTTCTTCTCTTGAAAGATTCGAAAGCATGTAGCAGGACTGGCCAGGAGCAGGCGAAATCCCTGAGAAAAACACAAAAATGGAGAAAAGGGCAGGTCCTTTAAATACTGAGAATTACAAACAGTCACTTGGAACCCTGTAACTAATAACCCACTCCAAAAGCACATGCCCTTATCTTCCTATATTGTGATATTTAACCTCTTTCCGGTCAGTGTCAATGCACAGTTTGCTCAGATCCTAAGCCATGGATGTCTATAAGAAGCCTTGTTGTAATACAGTATCAATCCAACAGATATAGTATGGCAGTGTATATTTAAATATAGACCGATATCTTAAAATTGTGAAGTCCTATGCATGTAGACATTCTTTAAAAAAGTTATTCACTGTTGCAAGCTATTGATCTTGGTTACATTTATGAGCCCTGCTTGCCCCCCCCTACCCCCCTTTTATTTCCTATCCTCTTTAGATAGGTTGTGGGCCACCTGCTGTTAGCCATTTCCACCAGTAGGTGGAAACATTACTATACAACATTGAGAGTTTGCTTTGTGGCACAGTTTCATTTTCGCTTGTGATAAGTTTGGCGGTTAACTGCTCACGTACAACTTTTCTTTAGAAAGTTAGTTTTAGTAACATGGGCAGCTACTACTAGAGCATTTTTACTGTAAGGAGTCACATTATTCCTCAACTACACCTCCCCATATGATATATAACCAAAGCCTTTCACTCATTAAACTGAAGAGAAGCAGCAGTTCTGAATGTACCTGTCGATCAGATGTCGGCACAAAGGACAAGAATTCATCTATGTGGCCTACGTACAGCCAATCAGAGAAAAGCTCGATGGGCGCCTGAACGCGCTGAGCAAAGAGAAAGTCTCGAACCACTTTGGTCATCCTCCGTCCAGTAGTGCTGTGTAAAAGTAAAGAAAAGCATTCTGTTTCAATGCCTCCGACAGTCCCAGAGTAAATTAAAGCCCCTCTTGTACAATTCCATGGAATATGTTGTATAAATCATAATCCTAAAAAAAGGAAACAATTTCGATCTATTCTAGACATTTTTCCTATAGTTTTATCTATAGGAGTCATTTTTATTATACAGAAATTTGGAAACATTTTATTTCTTAAAAAATGGAGAATTCATCCGAGAACTATTCTGAAGATTCCATTACATTAAGAGACTTATAGAAGCAATTTGTGGAATCTAGCTCCTTGTGAGTTTCAGTCACTTTAATTTAGGCCTGAAAATAGATCCTGTATGTGTACGGGGGACTCCAGTCGGATTTCGATTTCAGAGCTGAATACCGTCAAGGAACTCTAATATCCTTGCCAAGTCAGCAGAGATTCTGTCACGGCCGGAGGGTGTTTAATGCTGCACATGTGACAGCTGAGTGGATAAAATTACCCACCGGAGGTGGTTCAGAGACTGCACTGGTAATGCAGACATTGTTTGGCTGCATGAAAACATTGGGAGGCACCTGAGGTTGGGTCGTCATTTAAAAAACAAGCCTAAAGGAAAACCATGAAACACTAGTTCTGGAGAAAAATATAAATATTCCCTTATCACTTGCTTTATCTGCCTTAGACGACAAGTATTATTTTAAGACAAACTGCTATAGAAACATAGAATGTGACGGCAGATAAGAATCATTCGGCCCATCTAGTCTGCGCAATTTTCTAAATCCTTTCATTAGTCCCTAGCCTTATCTTATAGTTAGGATAGCCTTATGCCTATCCCACGCATGCTTAAACTCCTTCACTGTGTTAACCCTTACCACTTCAGCTGGAAGGCTATTCCATGCATCCACTACCCTCTCAGTAAAGTAATACTTCCTGATATTATTTTTAAACCTTTGCCCTTCTAATTTAAGACTATGTCCTCTTGTTGTGGTAGTTTTTCTTCTTTTAAATATAGTCTCCTCCTTTTACTGTGTTGATTCCCTTTATGTATTTAAATGTTTCTATCATATCCCCCCTGTCTCGTCTTTCCTCCAAGCTATACATGTTAAGATCCTTTAACCTTTCCTGGTAAGTTTTTATCCTGCAATCCATGAACCAGTTTAGTAGCCCTTCTCTGAACCCTCTCTAAGGTATCAATATCCTTCTGAAGATACGGTCTCCAGTACTGCGTACAATACTCCAAGTGAGGTCTCACCAGTGTTCTGTACAATGGCATAAGCACTTCCCTCTTTCTACTGCTAATACCTCTCCCTATACAACCAAGCATTCTATTCTGATCATTACATTATTTATTCCCAGGCAAAAAAAAACCAAAAAAAAAAAAAAAACATAACTCCAGAATAGCAAGTCATTTCTTAGGCTGCTTAGCCGATTTAGCTTTTTTCCTTATTTCCATTGTGAGTGTTTTTAATCTCTTATTACATTTGCTTGTGTTTTATATAGTGAGCACTATGTTATTTTATTTTTATCTCTAGGCATTGGGAGTATCTGCTGCTGTACAACCACCAGTTCTATTCTGTGCTGGTTGGCTGATACAGTTTCTAGATCTTAATATCTTTCATTAGAAAGTAGAATATTGTGTCATCTGTGACATTACCCTGTGTCACTTTGCTATCTATCGGAGACTTTCTTTTGGATCGATTTGGATTTAGACTCTAATGTAATCTATGTATAATCTATCCATTTTTGATTTTTAGAATATCCAATATTGATTCTTATTAAGACGTTTTAGCTCCTGGACTTTCCATTATAGTAATATTTTGGTATTATTGCATTTATTTTACAAAAGGATTGGTGAACCTTTTTATTCCAGATTTGAGCGATGGTTCTAGTATTTACATTGGTCTTACTCACTCTTACTATACACTTTGGAACACATTCATTTGTGACCCTTCGTTATTTGTGTGCTATACAGTCGATTTAATTTGTGCTGCTCAGCTCCTGCAATCTGTGAGCTCAGTTCAACCTTTATTCTTACGTGGGGAAACTGCTTCCGATCAGCATCCGCCCCAGGGGATATTTCTTCCCTTGTACGGTCACAGGAGGGCTGACTTCTAGATTCCCAAAGGAGTCCAGGCTAGTGACTTCTGAAGAAGCTGCAATTTTGGTCACATAACCAAAGTCTGGGCCCTATTACATGATAAATACATAAAAAAATTAAAATAAAATCTTGTAACCTATTGACTTAAGCCGAATGCATTGCAATTTGCTGGGCACATCTATTACAGGATACACATGTAAATACCCACTATTAGAAAACACGTATGAAAGAAAGACCCTCACCCTTCCTTAACATTTAGTTGTAATAATGTACTATTGTGAACTAACAAGCCACCTACTGACTCTCAGGGTTACAAAGACCTGGTTTACTTATCTAGAGAAAGAGTACTTTGAGACTAAGCCCAAGAAATTTTTACAGTTATGCTGAACCTTTACACATTTAATGTGAGACATGTTACACTCGGTCACGGCAATTTAAGAGGACAGCAATCCTGGGAACAACTTAAATAATGATCCATCATAGTCATTACCAGCTTAGTCTGGCAGCTGCTAAGTCAACGTAGAACCCAGGCTGGGAGGCGGGGGCTGATCCAACTAAACAGAGAGCTCGATCAGTTCACAATGAGACCAATCAATGGCTTGTTATATGCACCTTGCAATTCTCACACCTGGCATAAACAGCTGTGCTGTGAAGTTCAGAATTATGAACTGGAGTCAGAGGGACTTGAACCAGAGAATATATCTGCCTTGAATCTAAGAGCAGATTAGAATACGGAATTATTTTAAATATTAGGTCCCATAAACACTGCAAAAAAAAGCTTGAAAATCATAATGAAAATATTTGATCCTCTTTGTTACGGGTTGCCTGGTCATTTACAACTGGTGCCGGACTCTAGTCACCTTCTCCACAAAATAGCTATTTTTCACAGTACCAGCCCCTACCAGCTTGAGAGCCAGAACAACGTTCACAGGACTCTTAGGGACTCACAAAAGGCCCTCAGGTACAGCGCACCCAACCGGGAGCTACCCAAGAACTTCATGGAACGGGGACTCTGATCGTGGAAGTGCCGCAGTCCAGTCAAACTTTAACAAGATGGCTCTCAGACCCAGGACCACCAAACCAGGTGCCATTTGGAAGGGAGATCAAGGACATGAGGAGGCATTCAGCAACATCAAGGACTTGGAAAAGCTCCCTTCCCCAGGACTTGGAGAAACGGTTAAAAGAGACCAGGACTTAACCGAAAATGATCTGGAACCCTGAATCGGATTGGGAGGATGTCCCAGTTAAACTTTAACCTATGATTACTCGGGCTAGACACTTCTGATCCTTAGGGGTAACTGTAGGGGGGGGGGGCTGGGGACACTTTTTTTGGCAGTTATTATCCCAGACACCAAGGTACCCAGGTTGTGATATGTCTTATTTTCATGAGGACTCCCTATTGGGGACTGTACAATATAAAGATGGTTGTCACTTAAGTATACACAGGTTTTACCCTTTACCAAGCCTCGGCTGACTTTGGGACAAGCGATAATCACTCTACCTGCTTTATCCTAGGGGAAAGTGAGAAGCTATTATCACTTTGGCTCCTCTGTCCCAGGAAAGAAGGGATACTTGGCGGAGATACTCAGCCTGAGTATAGGAACTCCGTCACACTCTTCCAACCAATGAGGGTTTTAATGCAGCTTGTATTCGACCATCCGATTCATAACATGTTCCCACCCTTTAACTATAAACATTTTAAAGCCAAGACACATATTGTGTGAAGATTAGAAAGCCATTTTGTACATGACTGCAGCACCTTAATTTAGCCAAGTCTACAATATATATATCACATGTTTTCATTCTGCCCTTTATATGCCAAAATATCCTTTTGAAAATAGCATTAAAGTTCTGGAAATCTGTTGAACCAAAATAACTGAACAAGGCCATTGGCAAACGGCAACAGCCTTGTGTGAATAAACCCCCAAAACCAGCTGTACAGCCGTTCACCTCAGATTTGTGTCATTTATCGCTCAGGAAGTCCACACGAGTGGAGGACATGCGTTCACTATTTTAAATCTTGATATATGAAAAGCAATTTTTGGATCATTAAGCAATATTTTGGAATCAATTGAATATTGTTCCAGTGATTTAACATCTGAGGACCTTAATCCTGATTGAAGACAAAGAAGGTGTTGGCTACATTAGCGGAGGCCCCCAAGGCGCCAAACTTTGCTACATCCTGTGAGTAACTTTATATCGCACATTACTCTGTATAAAACTGCTTCGCTATATGGCTTATTTTTATCCTTTTATAGAGGTTTAGCTGAATCCCGAATATTTTCACTATTTTGCGGTTTAAGAGGGGAAGCTACATCTTTCAAAGTTAAGTTCCACTTCATGTGGGAATATTAATACATTGTGAAAGTTACATTTTTTATTCCATTTTTAAGTCAAATCCTCATGCAGATAATGAGTTTATCCTACCAGAATATCTCGGATTGGGAAGTCCTTTAGGTTTCCATCTCTCGGGGAATCCAGGACCACAGGGAAGCTTTTGTGCGGAGCGTGGATATATCCGAATTCCATTTCATCCTGCAGTTAACAGCATGTTGACCAAGTAATTTAAACAATACTGTATGTATTATTAGTGTGACGTGCTGGGCATATTCTGTGTTATTAGGCAGAGACCCCATGTTAGTAAAGAGGAACAGAAAGCTTTGGATCTTACAGAGAAATACACAGGAGTTACCGAAGCTCGGTTATTGGAAGTCGCTTGTGAACACACAAACCTGCATCCAACGATCACCACGGTTGACATATTCAAAGCAGATCTGAATCTTGTAATTCGCCTCGTTCACTAAAGCCTTGATATGCTTTAGGAAAAGGTAATTATCCTTCACACTAAGGACAGAAATGGGTAAATAGGTTAGATACTAAATTGCAGCTGACCAAGTCTTTACTTGCAGCATCGCCGCACATCCACGCATCGCCTTCAGCATCGACACACATCCACGCACTGCCTGCAGCATTTCGCACATCCACGCACTCCCCAGAGCACATCCACGCACTCCCCGGAGCACATCCACGCACTCCCCGGAGCACATCCACGCATCGCCTGCAGCATCAACGCACATTCCTGCACAGCCGCAACCCATGCATTGCCTGCAGCGCCGCACACCCATGCATTGCCTGCAGCAGTGCCGTGCACACCCATGCATTGCCTGCAGCAGTGCCGTGCACACCCATGCATTGCCTGCAGCAGTGCCGTGCACACCCATGCATTGCCTGCAGCAGTGCCGTGCACACCCATGCATCGCCTGCAGCAGTGCTGTGCACACCCATGCATCGCCTGCAGCAGTGCCGTGCACACCCACGCATCGCATGCAGCGGTGCCGTGCACACCCACGCATCGCATGCAGCGGTGCCGTGCACACCCATGCATCGCCTGCAGCGGTGCCGTGCACACCCATGCATCACCTGCAGCGGTGCCGTGCACACCCATGCATTGCCTGCAGCGGTGCCGTGCATATCCACACATTGCCTTTTCAGCCGCCGGTGTACAGCCATGCATTCCCTGCAGTGGCGTCGGTGCACATCCATGCATTACATGCAGCGCTGGTGCACATCCATGCATTACATGCAGCGCTGGTGCACATCCATGCATTACATGCAGCGCTGGTGCACATCCATGCATTCCCTGCAGCAAGCCACACGTTCATACATTGCCTGCGGCACCGTTGCACATCCATGCATTTCATGCAGCATAGCTGCACACCCATGCATTGCCTGCAGCAGTGGTGCACATTCATGCATTACCTGCACCATTGTCGCATATCCATGCATCACCTGCAGCACGGTCACACGTTCATACATTGCCTGCGGCGCCGTTACACATCCATGCATTCCTTGCAGCATAGCTGCACACCCATGCATTACCTGCAGCATGGTCACATGTCCATGCATTACCTGCAGCATTGTCGCACATTCATGCATTACCTGCAGCATTGTCGCACATTCATGCATTACCTGCAACATCGCTGCATTATAATGGATCATGTAATAGCACCCTGTGTCATTAACCTCCTACCTACAGTACTGGGAGTAATTAACCTACACTTGTCTCATCGTGTGTCACTAACCCATTACCTGCAGACATAAACCTCCACTGGTTCAAGAGTATTTGGAGTAATGATCAGAGGAGCCACGCGGAATGTCACCACATCTGTGAAAATAGGGGTCTCTGGGATGCCCTGTAAATAATTAATTAAAAAAGGACAAAATCACCTAGTCACTATACATAAAAATGTGCTCAATTTATCAGAAAGGATACCTTTAAAAAGTCATTAAATGTCAAAAACGCCTTTTTATAGATGGGAAAATACTTTTTCAAAGCTCTTGTTATTTTATTCCTACAGACAACTTTCTCTTCCTCCACATCTCTTTTAGAGGAAAGATCTTTGTGTGCACTCCGCTACATTGGTCTAAACTAAGTATATAAACATATATTCCTTATGGGTTCTCCACAATTTCCGGTTTTATCAAGTAAAGCCTCAGTAAACTATCCCCTTTGTACAACTGGAATTCTCCATCTACACGCGTAATGTATAAAGAGAACAGAACAACCTGTTGAGTGCTGCACTTGATGTGATTGTAGCGACTCCAGGGTGATAAATGTACTGTATTACAATCCTGTTTTATTATCCTCCAGCTATGCAGTAAAACAGCCCAGATCTACACACGAAATGGAGATCATGGAGATCGGCTTTCTGAACCAAGTGGTCATAATTTAATGGAACCGGTAACCTCTCTGGTGTCAGTCTGATACATTTCTTGACACATCAATGTTCTAAAGAGCAAGATACTTGAATGATTGGCAACGGAACACCCCAGCTGGCAGGTGTCCCACACAGACGAATGATGATGTTCGCACTAGGAGACAGCTATAAACAGGAATGAAATCAAACCCACGGATTACCTAGCATTCGAATAAGAGCTCTGAAACCTCTACATTTGGAATGAAGACTGGAAAATGTGTTGGGTAAGGAGGTGAGTGGAAAGCTTTTATACACAAGACCGTGGGATACAAGATAATGACTTTTAAATGTACTTAAAAACGATCCCACTTGTGCTTTCTGAAAGGTTGTACAATTAGTAACATTACAGATCAATGTAAATGCTCAAAATATGAAATTTGGAGCAGGTTTTACAAATCCCCACTGTTCCTCCCCTGTCCAGATCTTACCTCCACCTGGGATTCTAGCAAGCTGGCTTTGATTGACACCAGGCCATTGAACCCCTCATCTGGGAAACGAATGCCTTCCACAAAGAACTCCAATTCATTCAACCCAGTGTACCGGGCCTTGTAGAACAGCTTTTCCTTTCCGAGAACATGTGTATAGACCTTACCTGCAGCAAAAATAAGGCAATGTGAAGTGACAATTATTTAACCCCAGACTGACAGCACTTATTCTACTTTATCCAGAATATGGGGAGATTAAATGACCTAGAGAGATCTTTATGGTAGGATTATGCAATCTAACTGCAGAGTTCAGCAAGGATCTGTAAAGGTGCCAATAACAGCTTAATGCAGGCTTTGAGAGAAATCATATCCCGGGAGCATGCATTCTTTGCAGAGAATCCAGCCATGGTCACAGATGCAAGGCTTGCACATTACTCCATGGAGCAGGAAGATTTCCCAGATTAGCTATCTGGAAACAAAATGGATTTTATTCTGTCTTGTATACGTCATGCTACTTTGAGAGATTATATATATATTTATTTGATACAAGGTATCTTAATATTGGCTACTTTGGCACAAATGTTAACAATCCACACTAATAAATAACCCTGAGAGCCCTGCAATGTCATTAGTAATACTTTTCTAATTAGACATTTGTTTGTCTTTGGAATAAATTTACAAGTGGTGTTCTGAATCCATAGAAATAATATGAATTACCCAAGTACAAATGATCAAAGACAGGAAAATTAAGGCTCTTCTGTTGAATGTTAGAGCTCTATGAATTAAGTTCAACTTGTGCAAAAAATATAGTTTGAGAGATTTCACCCAAATTCCTTTTTCTCCACACCGGATCAAATTGATTTATTGGTCAGCCTGACTGAGGTTACTGAAGTAAGATTGCCCGATGGGAGACACGGGTGAGGACAGAGGTGACAATTATGGGGCTTAGCTCCCGCAATGTTCCGGGCACAGCTCTGGTCTTTTAAATGTGTTCTTACATTGCATCATATTGGCTCCCTGGGATGGGGTTCATTTTAACCCCTAAACATTTTTTTTTTTTTTTTTTTACGAATAGCACCTATGTAAGAGGGAGTTGAGAATGTCCCCTGTCACTCAGCTTTGTACCGTATTATGATTTTGGGGGGAGTGATCTATATCCATTTAGGTTTTATTTCTGCCCCCTCAGGACCCCAGGATGCTCACCATTCACATACAATTTACCTGATTTAACAGATATAGAAACATAGAATGTGACGGCATGTTTACAGGGCTTTGATATATCTTATAGGACCTGTGTCCACATTCCTGTTTAGGCACCTTATTATTGCACTGCGTGTCTAAAGAAAAAAAAAAAAAATGTAATTCCCCTTTTTTTATTTCTCATAACCATAGCGGAGGACCTGCGTGTCCCTTTCTCGTACCTACTACTTTGTTGCAAAATAAAAATCTAATTCACAAAAATAAAATATTGATCCATCTCTGGGGGATTTACCTGTGAAGTCTTTTTCAGTGACAAATTGATTTGTGCGGTTTGATGGATTAAATGGATTTTTATTCAGACAAAAATGGCTCAAACTAATTTTTCCAGGAGTCTGAATAAAATACTCCCTCTAGTGGCCAAGTAGGACATGGATGCTGAATTGCCTAGATACTGCTATCCTACTCTGCCCTGGGGCCCAGAACACCTGCAAGATAGATCAAGCTACCAGGGAGGTCTTTCCTGAGCTCAACCCGACTCCCTGGTATTGGGATTATCCCCAGTGACATCACTACAGGGAGCACAAATCTGCTAAACAGCAAATATAGCTCAACACTACACTCTGCAACTGGATCATAGGATGACAGCTGGAGATTTGAGATAGCTGAACGTTTACAGAGGGGGTAAAAACGAGGGGCATCTGGGTGTATCTCAAAGACAAGGTTAGAATAAGCAGCAGAGGCAGACCTGAGGTTTGTTTTTTCTATCTTTAGGTCCTAAATGAAGAGTGTAGAAGTCTGCAAAAATAAGAGTTTTTTTCTTCCAAGAAACATAAATGTGAGATGTTTTTTGTTTTGTTTTTTAATTAAAAAGTGAGAAGGAAATTAAGGAAATATTAGGTAAATTATTGGAAGAGAAAGTAACCATTCAAAAGATTGTTAAAGGCTAAGGCTTTAATTACGTGGGAAAGAGAGATTGGACATGAAATGGTCCCAGAAGATTGGTTTAAAACTTTGTTGTGTCTTAGAAATTGATTCACTGCTTAAATATTATGGAACTACATTACAAAATAATGTAAAGATCGTACTTGGTGCCAAAGAAATTTGATGTACATGTAATGTTCTGTATTGTTGGGGGTGCGACCAGGGTTCCTTTTCCCATATTTGGTGGCGCTGCCCATTATTAGATAAATATTGGGAAGGAACAAGAGCCGAACCGTCTACTTCAGTAAGATGCAAAAATATTTATCTCTACACGTCTTAATAGCAGCAAAGATGCCAATCGCTCAAAATGGAAAACTCGTGAAGATCCACATGGCACTCTCTTAAAGAACAAATAAATTACTAATTACAAATCTGTTGATGTAAATTCGGGGGATGGGGGTATTTACAACATCAACAGAGTTTTATGTATTAAGTAGTGCGCCCTAAAGAAAAAAAAAGAAAGAAAAGAAGGAAGAGAACCCAGCATAGCTCGAAGCACATTTTGTTTTCCAAGTTTGTAACTTTGTTTTCATCATTTGTATTTATTAATAAAATTTAACTATAAAAAACAAAACCGTAACTTCCCGTTAGAATGGAGGGCAACCATGTTTAATGTTGGCAGAACGCGATGTGACGGCATTAATATAGATTACAAATTCTGTCTAAATAAATTCTAGTTAATCTGAAAATCTCTAAATATAAAGTTTAATAGCTGAAATAAAGGTTATGTATGAGATAATAAAAATAAAAAATAAAAAAAAATTTTTAAAAAAATGAAGCAAAGTCAAAATGATAATATAACCAGCCCTGAATAGGAAAAGGGTACATATAGCTAGATGGGGATACCGGGTCACAGGGCCTACAGCTAGATGGGGATACCGGGTCACAGGGCCTACAGCTAGATGGGGATACCGGGTCACAGGGCCTACAGCTAGATGGGGATACAAGGTCACAGAGCTTACCGCTAGATGGGGATACCGGGTCACAGAGCCTAGCTAGACGGGGATACCGGGTCACAGAGCCTACCGCTAGACGGGGATACCGGGTCACAGAGCCTACAGCTAGACGGGGATACCGGGTCACAGGGCCTACAGCTAGACGGGGATACCGGGTCACAGAGCCTACAGCTAGACGGGGATACCGGGTCACAGAGCCTACAGCTAGACGGGGATACCGGGTCACAGGGCCTACAGCTAGATGGGGATACCGGGTCACAGGGCCTACAGCTAGACGGGGATACCGGGTCACAGAGCCTACAGCTAGATGGGGATACAAGGTCACAGAGCTTACCGCTAGATGGGGATACCGGGTCACAGGGCCTACAGCTAGATGGGGATACAAGGTCACAGAGCTTACCGCTAGATGGGGATACCGGGGGGATACCGGTACAGTCGGGGATACCGGGTCACAGAGCCTACAGCTAGATGGGGATACCGGGTCACAGAGCCTACAGCTAGATGGGGATACCGGGTCACAGAGCCTACAGCTAGACGGGGATACAAGGTCACAGAGCTTACCGCTAGATGGGGATACAAGGTCACAGAGCCTACAGCTAGATGGGGATACCGGGTCACAGAGCTTACAGCTAGATGGGGATACCGGGTCACAGAGCCTACAGCTAGATGGGGATACCGGGTCACAGAGCCTACAGCTAGATGGGGATACCGGGTCACAGAGCTTACAGCTAGACGGGGATACAGGGTCACAGGGCTTACAGCTAGATGGGGATACCGGGTCACAGTTTAGGAGCCCCATTTTAGTGACTCTGCAGATCATAAACACGGGGATGTTGGAAATATAATTTGCCTCTATCAGCTACATAAATCCATAAAGCGAATCAAACTGCAGTACTCACTGTGGCAGTGAAACACTCCCAGATTCTCAGAGTCCGATGCAGAGATGTAAAGCAGGAGATGATAACCGGCAGGGAGTTTCTCTGGCCCACGGGTTCGGAGGACCATACGAGACATGTCCAGCAGATCTAAAAGACAAAACACATATCCAGGAATCAGCAGTGATAACAGACAACCAATGGAGAGGGGGGGGGAAGAAATCAAATTACGTTACCTGCTTTACTGAGCATAATGTCATCTCCTCCGTCAACTGTCCGAGACAGTAGACTGTCCTTGTCACAATTCACCAGCAGGATGGCTCCCTGACCGTTAGGGCCCCACGTCCATGACGCCTAAAACAGAAGGGTAATGACAAACACTGTAATTAACTTATTCTCATCATACAGGTAATCACTTTACAAAGTAAAAAGAAAATCCTGCTTCCAACAATACCAGAGAACCATAGACAGACAATTTAGTATCAAGGAACTGCTGCAGATTTATTGACATTTGTTCTGATGAATTACACATTGTAAAAGGGATTTGAATTGGTGCTTTCAGCTTAAACCTTAGATTGATTATACAGATATATCAGGAATGGCCATTGGAATACTGGATTCAGTAGCAGTTCTGTCTGCCGTGGAGTATGTTCGTGTATGCTGAAATGCTCCCTTTTGATCCATTGTTAATTCATCACTGGAGACAAGCTGAGCCTGGTTCAGAATAATGCTGGTTTCTCCCTCGTTTAGATCCCTTGATACCAGTTACTCAATCACCCAGTGTTAAAAACACACGATCTGACTGCACTGTGAAAACTATGAACCGCTTCCATCTAGTACAATAATACAATGACTTAACATAAAATCTCTGCTGTGCCAAAGCCTTTAGATTAACACAACCCACCCAAGTTATCTACCGATAACCGATCTATCAACAGTCTGGTCTGGTGTATATGTCAAGGATGTTAAATACCTTTACTGTGCAAGTAGTACACCATTCCAGAGATCTCTCTAGAGAAGAGGAGACCTTTGGTTTGGACTGAATAGATAAAAAAAATAAAAAATTCTCAAATGGCATTTTGATTTCAAGCACTCCTGATAAAAGGCTGGTATCATACAAATCGATAACGCTTCTGTCTTACTCTTTACCTCCATCAATCCCTTTATATATTCAAAAGGTTAATAAAGACGTTTAATTCACCTTCTGTGGATTGTTCTTTTCCACAATTCCATCCCTGTCTGCATCAACATCCAGGGATATTTCTGAAAAAAAAAAAAAAAAACACACAAAAAAAAGTCAACATTTATTAAGTGATACGTTCACATGAATAACAACCATCATACAGGACTTTGTGGGTGGCCCCACATTGTAATAAAGAGCAATATGTCTAATGCTCACCAAATGTGTTAAAACCGATTACCTTTATTTCCATATACTTAAACATTCTTCAATAAAACGAGCAGACAATGGCTTAACCGCTTAAGGACCAAACTTCTTGAATAAAAGGGAATCATGACATGTCACACATGTCATGTGTCCTTAAGGGGTTAAAGACGCCCATAGGTTCCGTGAATTTTCCAACATACAAAAATCGGTAAGTTTTGTGGAAAAATGCATTTCGTACTCCCGTACTGTCTCCAAACCTGATAGACCTTCCTGAAACAGGATCTTATAGCTGTGATTTATAACAGAACCAGTAGCTCTACTAGAAACCAACCATACATATCTCAATACAGGTAAGAAATGGATACAACTTTTATTTTTATGTACGCACTGGTTTTGTGTGCATGCTCTATTTTCTGATGTATAAAAACGGATACTCCACACTTTATGAATTTGGAGTTGTATTTTGGACTTTCCCAGTTTCCACACTATGTTGTAAAGGGGACAACAATCCTTCCGAGACCAATACATTGAGCGTTAGAGAAGAATTAAGGTATTTTATATGAAGGATAAAATCCACTCCACAAATTTGGATGTTCATTTTTTTGTTCAGTGAAGTAGTTAATATCTCATTTCTCCTGTGCGTGTGTCACCAAACTAGGTGCTTACGGAATAAATGCCACGAGAATTCTTTCTTAGAAATTAAGTGCCTGCGAGAACATGTCGAGTTTCAGGTTTCCAAGCCCCGAAAGATAGAGAATCCCATTCCAGTCTCAGCTGTGCCTGTTCTCCAAGAACAGCTGTGGGAAACGGTCTATTCCTGCCCTGCCCACGAGCAGTTACATCAGACAGAAGATATGGCTTGGCATTTTACTTTTGTTTAAACAGGATGCTGTATACCTGGAGCCAACAATAGACTTGTATGGTATTTAAATCAGGTTTGTTGTAAGCTAGAGGTGCACAAGTTCACAGGATGCTTGTGTTGTCACTTACCAACTCCAGTGAGATAGATTCCAGCTTTGTCTATTGGCACATCTGATCCTTTCCCATAGTAGCCAAACGTGACCTGTAAATTAAATTTAAATATTTTTTTTTTAAATAGATAAATAAAAGTCTCATGTTACTGCTCGTAAAATTCCAGTCTATACAATATAGCTAATGCCGAAGGAAGACAATAAAAAAGAGCAGGAAGATTTCCCAGATTAGCTATCTGGAAACAAAATGGATTTTATTCTGTCTTGTATACGTCATGCTACTTTGAGAGATTATATATATATTTATTTGATACAAGGTATCTTAATATTGGCTACTTTGGCACAAATGTTAACAATCCACACTAATAAATAACCCTGAGAGCCCTGCAATGTCATTAGTAATATCCTATATCAAAGTATCCCAGCACTCTATAATAACTCTCTGGCTAGAGTCTACTACCCACCATAACTCTTCACGTGGCACTTAATGATACAACACCTCTGGCCTATCTTTAGTGTTGGTACAATATGGTAGACAGCCGGCTCACCTTGCCATCATTGGTCTCAGTGCTGGGTGTAGTCATCCGAAGCTCCACCATTGTTTTGCTGGACAAGGTCCACAGTTTCTCACCATTGATGACTTTCTGGTTGGATAGATCACTGTTGAGTACTTCAGCCTCAACATTTGGCGAGTGGTGCATGCTAAACCACTTGCATTCTGTTGGTGCGCCCCTACACAGGAGAAAAGATTAAGGACGAATAACATAAATCAAACTGTTAAACCCATGCTTTACAAATAGTTCTCTATTGTGCCTGTCTGAATATGCAGCATCGCAATGCTATGTTCCACCTGGACACTAGTTTTACACTACCTTAAAGAAAACTCTATATCCGTGTTGGTAAACCTATGAAACTAGTGCTACTGGTGGCACTCAATATCTGCCTGCCGCCCAGCCATCACTTCTGAAAACTTTAGTAAATGTTTAGTTTTAAATTTGCCATGAGCGCTCTAAGTAACCCTTTACAGCTGCGACCAATCACTTTAAAAGCACACAAGCAGATAGAGTCCCACTTACAAAGTTGAAGTTGACACTTCTGCAGAAGTTATGGAAATGGTTGCAGAGGATTGGTCACTCAAAAACAGAAACACACACACTTACCATCCCTCACCTAGAGAAAAGGTCTCATTGCCCTTCACCTGACCGACCAGTCTGAGGACTCTGCAACATGCTTCTAACTCCCACAATGCCCTTCACCCAACCCTCTACTGATTCTGCAGTCTGTCTCCAGAGCCTGCATGATTTTTCGGCTAACCCTCCTTAATGAAGACTCTGCAGCTTGCCTTCTACAATACAATTCACCCAAACCGCTCTTCAGAAGACTCTGCAACATTTCGTCTCACCCGACATGCATGTCTAATGACTCTGCTCCACACATCGAGCTGCCGCAGTGCCTTCCACACCATATACCTGAATGATTCCTCGGCAGCACGCCTCCATTTGAAGACATAACTAACTACATACAACCATGCATTGTTTTTTTCTAAGACCAGGTCTAAAACTGTCCCTGAGTAGAGATGTCGCGAACGGCTCGTTACGAACCATTCGTGGCGAGCTCCGGTCAGCTGACACATCCCGGCCAATCTCCAGCAGACCCTCCCTCCCACCTCCTGGACAGCATCCATGTTGAAGCTGCCTTCAACATGGATGATGTCCAGGAGGTGGGAGGGTCTGGGAGGGAGGGTCTGCTGGAGATTGGCCAGGATGTGTCAGCTGACCGGAGCTCGCCACGAACGGTTCGCGACATCACTATCCCTGAGTGCTTTACAGAGATGCTAGACCCTTGCCCATGATATCAGTATTTGTGAATACACACACTACTTGCATGGTTTTTGGTTGGACGGGTGGTGCTATTAAACAAAAAGAAGCAAAAAAAAAGGGAACGGTCACTTCCTAAAATTTGTAATGTTAGTAAAGGGACACAATACACACCCAGGCCACTTCATCTCATTGAAGTAGTCTGGTTGAAGAGCACCTGACACTTTAAGATTCAGAAAAACTGCAATGTTTACACCTCTATTGGCTGTCTTTTTCAAGGGAATAATTTCCAGAAAAATGACAGCTCCCTGAAGATGGCAGGCCTCATAGAGCAAAGCAAACCAGACGTTAAATTAAAATCAAATGAGATATTCACCAATGTCCATGTATTAAAATGAAGGGGCCTATAATGCAGATCATTTTCCTTTACTACTTTGTGTTTGACATTGAAGGAGTTAATAGAGACTTCCTAGCATATGGCAGACAGCTTCTGTTCACACATGCCCATGGTCCAGGACATAACCTGCATGTTGAACTACAGCTAAATATGGCTAACCTCATAAATCAAAATGCTATAAAACTGTCAATCCCATTCCTTCACAGGTCAAGAACCAGAGTTAAATGTGTGCTCAGTACAACCCCAATAGGGAGGGGAAAGGTCGGTCAAGGCTCTCATTTAACCATTGTCAAGACCACACACAAAAATAATTAATAATAGTAATATTGAGTGCCTGGAGAATTTCTTTCACAAGATACAAATGGAATACAAACATCGACGATAAATGCAATATGGCGTTTAAATAGAGTGCAGTCAAGTAAACTGGAATACCTCTTCAATCAAAAACAAGTGCATACCAAACCAAATAGTGTTACTAGTACAAATCCCACACTGGACAATAATTATTACATAGCTGAAGACACGTGTCCATCAAGTGCAGCCTTTCTCAAGCTTGCTGTTAATCCAAAAGTACGCCAAAAAAAACAAAACACAAAACAGTTTAAAGTGCTCCCATTTTTGCAACAAACTAGGAAAAAAATGCCATCTTGACCCCAGCCAGATATCTCTTTGTATGAAGAAGCCATTACCCCACTAATTAAAAATTATATCCAAATGGTCCGGGTGCAGTGTCCCTATCCCCCTTAATCCTGCAATTGCGTTAATTATCATTGCAGGACTAAGACGGTCTCTAGTGGCAGTTTGGGTTGTGTAAGATGTAAATCATACAGAATGTCTGGACACGAGAGGATGAGCAACATGTTAGACTCATGTCTTTGTATGTGCCCAGCTATATACAGAGGTCCACAGAAGTAGTTTGTATCTGTAGAAAGTGGGATATTCTGTCAATAAACGGGTATTGCTACTCCCAATTGTAAGAAGGGTTATTCACTAAAGTGAGAATTTAAAGCCAAAAGTATCTCACTGGCACAGTAACGGACTTGGAGAATTTTTCCAGCTTGGCTATTTTGGCCTTAAATTCACTTTGTATTCCCGACAGTTCTCAATTTGGCAAATAATCCTGTTTGTGTGGGCACCCAGAGCTCTCACAAAAAGAAGATATATCAACCTTTCAATGAGTGAAGTGAGGAGGAGAATAGAATTGACAGAATATCACATTTTCTACAGATAATCATTTGCCACCATTAGAGATCAAAGTTAGAGAGTGGAGGCCGGGATCAGGACAAGCCACTTGGTATAAGGTTTTTAGAAGTGTGGACTATAGTCGTTAACCTGTTGTACCAATGTAATAGATCATTTATTCGATTATGTGTGGAGTATATTCACCAAGCCTTAAACATCACAATAACAGCATGATCTCATACGGGGAACCAACTCGACCGCAGAATGATGCAATTCCCAGAGCTGCTTAGTTCAGTTACTGTGTTCATACTGCAATAGGTCTTGAGCAACGCAAACTGTTATTCCTCTCAATCTAAGGCTACATGTCATGTTAGCTCTATCCCATTCAATGTCAGACAGATGTGTGTTACTCTCCAATGGAAGGGGTTCTGCACTGTACAGACCTGCAGAGCACGTTAGTGCTTTGTAAATAGCATAACGTTCCTGATGTACAAAGCAATTCAAGTGATGTGAATAACAGTAAGCTCCTCCTAGGAAGGCTTGCTCAGCATAATTAAATGAAGCAATCATTAACCCCTTCAATGAGTAATTAGATAAATAATTTTATAAGATCACAGTCAGTCAGGAGTGGGTTATACGGTCCATAAAGTTCAAAGTACATACTGAAACAAAATCCACACACATAATATAAAGGCAAAAGGCATATCTTAATGAAGCCATTTTAGTGTATAGGTCACGCCCCTGCAATCTCACAGCTCAATTCTCTGCAATTTACGAGTTAAAGGGACACTGTAGGCACCCAGACCACTTCTACCCATTGGAGTGCTCTGGGTGCCAACTCCCATTACCCTTAACCTTGCAAGTGTAATTATTACAGTTTTTATAAACTGCAATAATTACCTTCCAGGGTTAAGTCATCCTCTAGTGGCGGTCTACCGGACTTTTGGTCGTCTAAACAACACTGGAAGTCCTCACGCTATGCATCAGGACCTCCGGCGTCTCCGGAATCCCCATAGGAAAGCATTGAATGATTCTTTCCTATGGGGAGGTTTAATGTGCACGGCCGGGGGAGGAGCGTGGGCAGAGCTTGACCCAGGGCCGATGCAGGTAAGTGGCTGAAGGGGTTTTAACATTGTGCAGCACTGACCCAGGAACCATCTCTAGTGGCTGTTTCAGTGACAGCCACTGGAGAGGTCCTTAGGCAGTGTCAGGAATCTTACCTGAGGTTGGAGTATGTAGCGCAGATATGTTTGCTCACCCTTGCAGATACACAGTCCAAGATGACCAGGTAAGAAGCCACCAGGACTGTAAATCTGTGCATGGGGGCTGTGCAGGAACCGACAAGGTTAGCCGAAAGTCAAAGGGTAACAGAGGTCAGGATAAACAAAATCAGAAGTCCGTCAAGAATGGAGCAGTGAGGCTGCAGTGACATGATCTACACACCAAAACTGCTTTATTAAGCTAAAGTTTTTTGGTGCCTATAATATCCCTTTAACTCATAGATGCATTCTACTAAATGAAATACAGTTGTAATCAGAATTATTCAACCCCATGCAGCAGGACATAATAGCAAAAGGGAGCTCTAAAGTATGAACGATGCTCACCATGAAGGGGTTGAACAGTTTTTTGAGACTGGAAAAGACATTAAACATTGCATTTTTAGTTGAATTTGGGGAAACAACTTTAAGCATTGATTGTGTTAGGCTATTTCAATTGCTTTTGTTAATTGCCAAC